TCGGCCAGTCGCCAGCCTGGTTGTCGGATCTGCAGCTCAAAGCGGGAGAAATTATGAGAGGAGGGACGGAGTACCTTCAACATCACCGACGTAAAAGAAATCAGCAAGCAATTGCACTAATTTGCCTCGAATGTTATCATGAGTCCCAATTGCAACAGAAATAGGGGGATTTGTCACCACAGCAGCACAAAATTTTCTCTCGGAAATATATGTCGGAAGCGAAAAGATTAGTAACAAAACAACGGCGAAGATGAAGCAAGATCACGTAATAGACAAAAGGTATCTGAGTGTCTCACATGAAGGGCTTGAACAAATAAGACTACAATGTAAAAATGTAGTAGTACAGGAAATGATTGATTAAATGTTTCATATTGTCCGAGAAATAATTTTATATCAATTCAAATAAATATTTTACTTGTATAGATTATTAAAATAACTAAGCGATGTAATCACTCATTTACTAACTTTATTTACTTCCCTTCCCACTACGAATGGGGCAGGAAATATATAAGTAAATAGACATTGATAATTATTATATGGCTTAATTAATCTTGATCTTTTTTTTTTCTTTTTGGCAATATGACATTTGTGGGAATTTGCCGACATTATGGCTTGTTTTTGTTCGTGTTTATTACAATCACTTCTAATATCTATTTCCGCCGAAAGATACCTGGGTGAGAGGATACGTTCCTTACTTGTATTCCGTCCTTCGCAAAAGGTCATTTAGGGTTAACGCCAATCGATATCTCACACGAAAGCGAGTTTCCGTCGATTATATAAGTAATTTCAGATTATCTGGTTTATAGTCCTGAAGGAACCGAGTTATAATAACGAGTTCGATAGTGTCATCTTTCATACAGAATTTTCATTGGTTTAAATCTTTACTGTTTGCAGGCTTTGCCAAACTACTTCTGAAATGTCAGTGCTAATAAAGTTTAAATTGCGCTATTTGAGACTTGGAGGTCTATATTCGAAAATAAACTGAACTAATTCGGGTTAGGAATTATAAGAAAGCCAATGCGAAATTTACTATTGCCTAGCTTTCAAATTTATTCGCTACTTGTAGCCCAGTCGAGGACCCTTGCCTTAGGGTCATTTGAGATTGATACCTTGTTTGGTTGGCTAATATTTATGATTTCGCTCTTAATGAAAGTTGTTTTTATTTCGCCCCAAATTCAGAGGTCACTGAATAAATCTAGATAGTAACCAATTTGCCGAATGATGATTTACGTTATACAGGTTCTTCCCTGATTTCGCCTTCTGTCATGACGAGGAAAACAGTTTTATTTCATGCACATAAACATTAACAGATATATATTTAGAAGTTGATGCTGTTTTCGCCATTTTTTTTAAAATCATTTTATCATATCACTTCATTTCACTGCTATTCAGTTCGCAAACTTTTTTTCTTAGATAAATGAGATCTTAAACGACTTTTCTGCTCTGCTATAAAAGGAGGATTCCGATTATGACATTACAAAATCATCACTATCCTGATTGGTCGATTGCTAGTTTTTGTTTAGCGGTATATCAACACTTACATGGGTTATTTAATGCCGAAGTCAAAACATTTTGTAAGCAACTAATAATAACAGTTTAGTGATACAAGACTTAATAATTTATCGATAGCTGATGGGGAGAGCATCTGGTTCATGCCTTTCCAGGTTGTAATTGCGCTTAAATAAATATAACAAAACCAGCTGGAATTGGATCACGGCTCTCCTATCTCGAATTGTTCTTGTCTACATAAGTTTTCTTGTTTGGTTGAAATAGCTATTCGAATGGGGTAAATTTGGATTTATATTCTGTGTAATTTGTATTCTCTGTTATAATAAATACATTGAGCTCATTTGAGTATCAACTTTGATATTTATATTATTAGGATTCAATTGGATTATATACCAACGGATTATATATATATATATATATATATATATATATATATATATATATATATATATATATATATATATGTGTGTGTGTGTGTGTGTGTGTGTGTGTATATGAAGAAATATAGTCTTAAGGTGTGTTATATTTATGAGATAAAGTACTGAATATCAGAGATAGAGTGTGTGTAAATATAAAAGTGAACATTGAAGTGGCCTGATGATTGCGTCTAGCATGAAACAGACCGTCGCCTCTAATTGTTACCTGCAATGTTCCTTATATATATATATATATATATATATATATATATATATATATATATATATATATATATAGCCACGCTATTCGAGGATACCCGTCTAGGGTAGCTAGCCAATCTGTTCTGGAGTGATTTCACAGTGGAGGCTTGTATTTGTACTAAGTCGGTCCTAAAATAGGTTCGACGTACAAAACGTTAGGAACTTGATATAATAGTTATAACGCAGAGTAATCTAGTTGTGGTCGCTGATACTTTAGTATTAGACTAACTGTCGTCCGACATCGACTGACTAACCGACCCACTGAGCGACTCGTTATTCTTACTACTCCTACTTATTATAGGTGGGAGAGTCTATTAACTATAGAATAGGTGTGTTCCACTATAACACAATCCCTATTGCAGACGTCCGTTCAGGCGCATTTTTGTTTGATCAACACCTACACAGACCACCTGTGGTGTTTTACTGCAACTATGCTGAGTAGACCTTAGTTACAGATTCTTTGAGGGAGCGTGTTATCTAGCGTGTTCAACAATCTGAACAAGGCCACTACGCTCAAACCCTCAGTCATGATGACTTGTGGCTTTGTGCTAACACAGCTATCAACTGCCCACAAGATTTTCGTCTACCCAATTTTCACTCACGTGAATCAACCGTAGTATGGTTTTCAGGCACTTTCGAAAGGTGCCGCACGTTAGGTCGCCCCGATGACATTAGGAAGATTCCTTCCTAACCAATCGATCCTGGTGAGATTCGAACCCGTGTCTCATTGTCAGACACCGTTATATTTAACGGTTATATATAACAGTTAATACAGTACACACACACACACACACACACACACACACACATATATATATATATATATATATATATATATATATATATAATCATCCACAGAAAGTTTCTCTGTATCACAACTCCTCAGTGTGGCTAGAAGGATAGAAACTGGACTGATTTGACAATAGTCAGATATCTTACCTATAGACCATGGTCACATATATATATATATATATATATATATATATATATATATATATATATATATATATATATATATATGTATGTATGTATATATATATATATATATATATATATATATATATATGTGTGTGTGTGTGTGTTTTTTTTTAGCCGTAATTGTTGCTCGTTAATTCCTCCTTGCCCAGTTCACTTTGATGATCCCATGTGGTGAAACCTAGGTAGATCGTACCTGGATCATTAGGACTAATTTATTTTACCTTTGCTCTACCTAGAGTATTGAGAAATCTTCGTTTTAACTTATTATTCACTGTTTATTTTTCTCTGTACGAGAATGTTAATGTGGTTGACGATTTTTTCCCTCTGTTAGTAGGTTTCTGGTTATTTCCCTTTTTCCCAAAGTTTTTCCTCCGATGCCAATTTGCTATCCAGGTTTTTTCACCCACCGAGTTTATATATATATATATATATATATATATATATATATATATATATATATATATATAGTCTTAAGATGTGCTATATTTATGGGATAATGTGCTCAATATCAGAGATATAGTGTGTTAATATAATATATATATATATATATATATATGTGTGTGTGTGTGTATGTGTATATATATGTGTGTGCGCGCGTGCGTGCGTGCGTGCGTGCGCGCGTGTGTGTGTGTGTGTGTGCATATTGCAAAAAACAAAAATTACCTCAACATCGGAATAGTCTATGTCAAGGTGGTCTGTACGCAACTGCCATCAGTCCCAAAGTGTCTGTCTAGAAGCATTATTTTAAATTTATTTTCAATGTCAGTCCTCCTCTGGTAGACACCTTGTTAATGAGAGTAGGTTCGTGTTAGCGACTGCTGGAGGGCGTAAGCTATCTTATTCTGGAGAAACTTTTATACTATAAAAACCAAAAACTATTTACTGTGATAGACGGATTCCGATCCATATTTGATCAATATTTGAGATTAATTCATTAAAATACTGGTATTGCTATTAACTAAACTAGGTAGGTCGATATATGTTAGATAGTTGCATACAGGCATACACCGTCCTGAGTATGACAATAAACCACATCCGCATCCTGGGTAAGACGATAAACTACATCCGCGTCCTGGGTAAGACGATAAACTACGTCCAACAGCAAGGCCTCTGATCAGGAGATTTTGAGGAGTGTGGAACCACCTCTTAATTGCTGACCCGGGCTGGTAGCATCTGTTAACGTCCCAGCTATGGGCAAATACTTAACTCCCACAAAAAACTTTGATCAAAACACTATGAAAGTATAAAAATAGGTTTTAATACCAGAAATACTTTGCATAAAAAATATTACCAGCAATACATTTTTGAAAAACAAGTATAACCAGCAATACATTTTTAAACAAAAAAAAGAAAAGAAAAAAAATTACCAAAAATAGATTTTTTGAAAAAAAATATTACCAACAATGAAAATTTTGTCAGCATTAAATAATCCATTGAGGTTTATATGCCGTAAAACAAAACAAAATAAAACAAACAGGCATATATACATACATACATACAAACAGACAGACATAAAGCTAAAATATTAAGCAAGAGAAAATGAAAGACAGTCAAATGCATGGTACTAAATATATTGAGATATTCACTCTTTTATGGTAGCTAGTTAGGCGGACATATAAATTCTTAACCACGTTCACAGAATCAGATGCTAAGTATATTAAAATATGTATAAAGTGGTTATTAACTAAAGTACATATTTCGATATATGTTAGATAGATAGCTAGATATAAATCGGTCGAGACAGGGAAAGAAAAGGGGAGAGATCTCTAGAATTTAGTGATCGCTATATTAGCTGTCAACGGTGAGAATTAGATAAGTAGGTATTTATCCGCGCGCTCATGTCGCAACAGAAGGGAACAGAATGTCAAGAATAGATAGATAGATAGATAGATAGATAGATATGAATAGAATAGATGAATATAGATGAAAATAGAAAAGAAAAATAGAAAAGAAAAAGAAAAGAAAAAAAAAAGAAAGAAAAGAAAAGAAAAGAAAGAAAAAAAATAAAAGGAAAAAAGGTAAAAAAAAGAAGTGGGAAAAGATAAAAAAAGAAAAAAAAACAGATGGAAGAAAAAATGATGAAAAGAAAGAAAAAAAAAAAAAAAAAAATGAAAAGAAAAAAAAAGGAAAAAAAAAAAAAGAAAAAAGGCAAAAGATGGAAAAAAATAAAAAGAAAAAAAAAAAATAAAAAGATAAAAAGAAAAAAAAGAAAGAATAAAGAAAGAAAGAAAAAAAAAAAAACAAAAAAAAAAAAAGAGAAAATGAATAAAAAACGAAAAAGAAAAAGGAAAAAAAGAAAAAAAGAACTTGAAAGAAAGGCAAAGAAAGAAAGAAAAAGAAAAGAATAAAAAAGAAAGAAAAAAAGGATAAAAAAGAAAGAAAGAAAAAAAGAAAGAAAGAAAGAAACCTTTCATTAAAATTAGAAAAGTGAAAGAAAAAAAAAAGATGATGAACAGCCTCGGCCCAATGACCAAAAATCATAATTCGAAAATGAAAAAAAAAACGAAAATTTTTGCAAGAAAACTGGTGACATGTGGCAAATCAGAAAACGAAAGCCGTCTCTCCTTCTCTATCTTTCCCTTTCCTAACAGAACGAAAGAAAGGAAACTCCTTGTGTTATTTGGAAAAGTTGTTTTCGACTTTTTTTTTTTTCCCTGTTTTTCGTCTTTTTTTTCAGAAAAGAAAAAGAAGATTATAAAAATATTTCGAAAGAAAGATTATGAAAATCTTCGTTCTCTTTTAGATTTTCTTCAATAATATTTATTTTTAAATTTATTTTTTAGTTGAAAGAAAGAAAGAAAGAAAGAAAGAAAGAAAGAAAAGAAATTTGAATAATAAAGAAACCTTTCGCATTAATATTTTCTTCATTTATTTGAATAATATTTAGTTTCCTCCTCGGATTTTCTCTTTCTCTTAGTTTCAAAGATTATGCTCCCCCCCTCCTCTTTCATTTTATTTTCCATACATTCTTCTCCTTCCGAATGAAAATTTGATGAATTCCTTTTTCCCTGATTTTCTCTTTCTCTTACGTTTCAAGATTATGACTCCCCCCCTCCTCTTTCATTTTATCTTCGTTCTCTTTAGCTTTTTTCTCCTTCATTTATTTGATAATATTTATTTTATATTTATTTTTGGTTACGCTTTCCAATTTTCTTTTTCTTACGTTTTCAAGATTTGAAATTCTCAACTGAAATCGTAATTCGAAAATGAAATTTTTGTTACGGTTCTTTTTTCTTCTGATTTTCTCTCTCTCAATTTTACAAATGGCGCTTCTCCTTCCGTCAATTTGCATTAAAACTGACAAAATTTCTCTTCTTACGTTTTTCAAGATTATGCTCCCCCCTCCCTCCTCTTTCATTTTATCTTCGTTCTCTTTTACTCCTTCAGAACGAACGTCCTTTCTTCTGATTTTCTCTTTCACGGATTATGACTCCCCCACTCCTCCTCTTTCATTTTATCTTCGTTCTTTTTAGCTTCTTTCTTCCCTTTCCTATTTATTTGAATAATACTTATTTTTTATTTTATTTTGGTTACGGCCTTTCTTCGGTTTCAAGATTACTCCCCCTCCTCCTTCGGAGGTGTTATATTTATTTTTATATTTATTTTTTGGATAGGTTCGACTTTCTCTTACGTTTCAAGATTATGACCCCCTCCTTTTTTCTTTTATCTTCGTTCTTTTTTAGTGCTTCATTTATTTGAATAATATTTATTTTTATATTTATTTTTGTTACGTTTCCGTTGTTTTTTCGTCTTTTTTTTTTCTGTTTTTCTTCATTTATTTGAATAATATTTATTTTTATATTTTTTTTTGGTTACTTTTTTTTCCTGATTTTTTATTTTCTCTAGAGGTGGGGACTTCCTCCTCTTCATTTTATTAATTTCTTCATTTATTTGAATCAGCGTTTTGCTCTTTTTGGTTACGGTTCCTTTCTTCCTGATTTTCTCTTTCTCTTACGTTTCAAGATTATGACTCCCCCCCTCCTCCTCTTTCATTTTATCTTCGTTCTCTTTTAGCTTCTTTCTTCTCCTTCCGTCATATTTCTTCATTTATTTGAATAATATTTATTTTTATATTTATTTTTGGTTACGGTTCCTTTCTTCCTGATTTTCTCTTTTTTCTTTTCTTCCTCTTTCATTTATCTTCGTTCTCTTTTAGCTTCTTTCTTCTCCTTCCGTCATATTTCTTCATTTATTTGAATAATATTTATTTTTATATTTATTTTTGGTTACGGTTCCTTTCTTCCTGATTTTCTCTTTCTCTTACGTTTCAAGATTATGACTCCCCCCCTCCTCCTCTTTCATTTTATCTTCGTTCTCTTTTTAGCTTTTCTCCTTCCTTTTTATTTGAATAATATTTATTTTTATATTTATTTTTGGTTACGGTTCCTTTCTTCCTGATTCTCTCTTTCTCTTACGTTTCAAGACTGTTCTCTTTTTAGCTTCTTTCTTCTCCTTCCGTCATTTTCTTCATTTATTTGAATAATATTTATTTTATATTTTATTTTTTAGTTACTTTTTTCTTCCTTTCTTTTTCTTTCTTACGTTTCAAGACTATGTCTTTGCCTGTTCCTTTTTTTCTTTTCTTTTTTTTTTTCCTACATCTGCAGAAATGCACCCAACATGACTTTTCCAAATGTATTTTAATTTTCTTATTACATGCATTTATTTTTGGTTCCGTTTCCTCTCTCATTTCTATTGTAATCTCTTCCTTTTACGTGACGAGATTACTACTTCTGCTCCTTTTCTTTGTCGTCCTTTTAACACTCCCCCTTTTCTTTTTCCACTACTACTCCTTCTTCCTCTACTTTTCCTACTCCTTCCCCTTGTCTTCTGCTTGTTCTTCAACCTCTTTTTTTTCTTTCTCCTATTCTTTCTTCTTCCTCTTCTTTGTTAATGCATCATGCATGTGTTCTAATTTCTTTTCTTATTTAACATTTTATTTTTCCATTTATTTAATTTGGGCTTCATTTTCTTTCTCATCAGTTGTTTAATTTATTTTTTTACCACTTTCTCGAAAATTTCAAGTAATTTCTTTTTCATCTTCTTCCACTATTTTCCCTTGCCTTCCTACCATTTTAAATAAATTTCTTCTTCTTCTTCTTCTTCTTCTTATTATTATTATTATTATTATT